CTTCAACTCTGCATGCCTAAGCAATACTCTTATATTCTTCCCTAGTTGTTTGTCCAAGTTTCCACTTCTTATAAGCTTCCATTTTGTGATTTTGTTTACTGAAGAGTTCCCTGCTAAGCAAAGCTGGTCTTTTGCCATACATGCTAGTCTTCCTGTGCATCAGGATGGTTTGTTCCTGTACTCTTAGTAAGGCTTATTTAAAGTACAGCCAGCTCTCCTGGACTCCTCCCCCTCAAGCCAGCTTCCTAGGGGATCCTGCCTATGAGTTCTTGGAGGAAATCAAAGTCGGCTTTTCTGAAGTCCAGGGTCCGTACTCTGCTTCCTTGCTTTCCCCAGGATCCTGAACTCAATCATCTCATGGTCACTGCTGCCCAAGTTGCCATCCGCTACTACATTCCTCATCAATTCTTCCCTGTTTGTGAGCAGCAGATCAAGAAGAGCACAGCCCTTACTTGGCCTCTCCAGCACTCGCATCAGGAAGTTGTCCTCAACATGCTCCAAAAACTTCCTGGATTGCCTGTGCACTGCTGTATTGCCCTCCCAGCAGATGTTAGGGTGATTGAAGTCCCCCATTAGAACCAGGGCCTGTGATCAGTAATCTTCCACTAGCTGTTTGAAGAAAGCAATAGGAAAACATGCTTCAGGGGTTTAAGTCAGGAAGGAATCACGCTCAGTAGCAGGAAAGCAAGCAAGGTCTGTGCAGACACAGTCCCACTCACCCTGTGGCTGTTTGGTCCAATGCCACTGCCATGGTAAGTGGCCACCTGGCTTGTGAGCTTGCCCTCTTGCCTCTGCCACTGGCCTTGACACTGGCCCCATCACCACCTGTGCTGGATCTGCTGCTGCCACTGCTACCTCATGCCCCCAGGCAAATCTGGAGGCTCCTGATATAAAGCACTGCACAATAACCTATGATGTATTCGCTGAAGGCAGAAGATAAGAATAGATGCATCAGAATTGCTCTGGCATGGAAAACCCTGTCATCCTATGTTAAAAATCGTTTTTTTTCAATCAGAACAGTCTCAAAACAGCTATAGCATCTCGCTTTCCCTCCCAAACACTTCATGAAAATCTCTCGGAGGCAGACTCCTTGACTGTACATTCCCTTCCAAATACAAGACATTAGAATCAGCATCATATCCTTTAAATGGATAATAAATTTAATAGACACTTGATAGTGTGTTCCTAAAAATATTCCACGCTTGCCAAAAAGAAGCTTGTATCAAAATAATTTTAGTTGCAAATCTGGCTCCCAGATAGGGGCTGGGCCAGAATCATTTCAGTCAACTCATTCCAAATGTCATTTCACTGACATTGATTGAGCCACATCATGCATGAACCAAGCACACTGAGTATAGGGAGAGATGCTGCAACAGGGAATTGACACAATGAGGTCCTAGGCTGGCAGGGGAGGGATTGGTAGACAGCTGGCCCTCTTGGGGATTTTATCTCCTGATCCTGACACTTCGTTTCAACACATTTAAGAATTTAAATAATAAAAATGATACTAAGAGACATTTACATTTAAATGTGTCACTCTGGCACCTTGATTTTTTAACTGAATATTAATAAATTGGGAAATTTTCTAATTGACCTCCAATGTTTAATCAAAACAGTTAACAGTTAAACAGAGATTAACATCCTCTGTAGATGTGGCACAGAGAGGGATCCATAAAACAGTCTAATCTGGTGTTTTACAGCTATTCCCTGTGTCTGTGTTACTCATGGTTCAACAAGAAAAAACTATCTGTAGTTACTATATTTACCTGAATCCAAGACAAGGTTTCTTTCCCCATTTAACATGAGGGAAAATGCCCCTTGCCTTTGATCCAAATACAAGTATTCCCAGAATCAGAATTGTAACTGCAACAGCTGCCTGTCCTCTCCCTTTCCCCTCCCCCCCCCTCCCCTTAGCCTCTGCCCCCCATGGCTGGTCCCTGATACCCCTCCCTTCCCCATGCAGCAACAGATGTGGCAGAGGCACATCCAGCCACAAGCTTGCCTGCCAGTCACCAACTGTGAAATCTTTGTGACTGGTGCTGATGTAAGAGGGGAAAAAGAAACCCAGTTTGATTCCCAGATCCAGGATGAGTTAGGGTGTCTGAATTTTTCTCTCAACTTTAAATTGAACATATTAAAGAAATCAGAAGCACCTTCTGATGACTTTTGCTAACACATTTTCCTGACTGTGATCATACTTTAAATCAGGAAATCAGGAGTTTCGAAGCTCCATCCTGCAGGGATGTCATCTGGTCTGCAGGGCTGGAAATCTGATGGCAGGTGGACAAGCAGCTTCTATAGCTCTGGAAGATGCAGCAGTTAACGCTGACCCTGCCAAATTTCCAGCCCCAAAGAGATCCCCACAGACCAGATGACACAGCTCTGAACTCTGGATCCAGTCCATGGACTGTCCTCATGTTCTGGATCCAGCCCACAGGCCCAGAGGAGTTTGATACCCCTATTTTAAATAATAAATCTTGTCTAATGAGGCTATTGACTAGCTGGATTAAACAGTTTTGAGAATTTCATTTATTTAATAACTCAAATGGTTAAGAAAAGCCCTAAGCACGTGATCACATGAAAGAACCTTGATTTGCCAAATCATGCTTCATGTTTAAATATATATTCATTGCAAAGAAGTAGCTAAGCATTGCACTAGTCATCATGACTAAAAACACTGCATGTGCACATTTCAAATTCATCCTTCTTCCCAACCTCACCTCTCTTCTTGCCTGAAGAACAAAGACTTAAATTTTTCTTCCAGCTGGTCACAAGGTGTCACTGTTGCCCCGCTTGTCTCTTGGGTCAGTCTGCATTTGAGTGATTTAATTGTGATGAAGACTGCTTTGTACTGGAAAGCTTATCTAACTTTATTTCAATCATGCAGCTGGTCCAATCAAAGATCTCACCCACACAAAAAGTTGCCATTCAGCATGACACATTTTCAGCAGCAGAGGGGTGTCAGAGCTGGAACTGTAGACATTTAGGATACCGTGGTAGATTTTCCTCTAAGAATATATGAATAAACTCTCACTCTGATGCTTAGGTCTCCTATACAGATGGGAAAAACTCAAAGGACAATTGCTATGTGACATAAAGATGGTGCTTCACTCTACACCTTGTAAATCAAATGGGTTTTTTTGTGGCTATGCACAACCAAATGCAGACAGTGACTGGTCTGCATGCAGGTATAGTGAAAACACATGTATGTGTGTTTTTGTGTATAAGTCAGTATTATATGAACACCTGAGTATGAGTGGAAGATCATATGTGGGACTGAGGAACTTCACGTACCATCTCTTTCCTTACCTAAGACACGATAAGACCCCCCTCAAAAAAATGGCTGCCTGGCCCTGGCCGTGGCCCTGCCTGCTATCCTCCAGACCTGTGTGCCCGTGGGGGGTCACCAGTTCTTTGCCCTTGCTGATTTCAACTGCTGGAACAAAAATGAAGATAAGCAGAAGTTCCTATTAGAGGTGCACTGATACATCGGTCCCATATCGCAGTGTTTCCCAACCAGTGCGCCGTGGCACAAAAGTGTGCAGTCAGAAATGAACAGGTGTGCAGCGGAATTTTGCCATGGCAATGAACTGCAATAGGTATGAGGATGGGGAATGACTTAACAGGTGTGCCATGGAAAATTTTTATTAATGTGTGTGTCTTGGGCTGGAATAGGTTGGGAAACACTATCATATGGGATCAGCACTGATATAAGGAATATAGACAGTATCAGCATTTGGCTTTTTTTGCCTGATGTGACCGACAGTGTGGCCAATATATGCCCCATGCATGTGCACAGCCGCAGTGCAGCACACAGGCAGCCAGGAGCCAGCTGGTAAGTCTGTTGTGAGGAAAGGGGTGTGAGGGTGGGGAGAGATCGAAGCCCCTGCAGTGAGGGAGGGAGTGGGGCTGGGGCAGGGGCTGTACAGCCAGGACAGGGTGTGAGTTAGAGCTGAGTGGCTGGTGCAGGGGGAGGGGGGGGGCAGCTCCTGCCACTGCATGCACCCCTGGAGGGCATGGGAGGCATGTGCCCTGAGATCTTGGCAGGGCGAGGGCAGGCTGCAGCTGTGGGCTGGGGCTGGAGGTGGCGCCAGGCTCTTCTCTGTGGGGGCTGGTCAAGGGCTGTGCTTGGGGTGGGCAGCAGCAGCACTGGGAGGAGGTAATGGGGGGGCTATGGCAAATTTTGGGGTGGCTGCAGCCCCCCCCCATAGCCCCTCTCCCTGCAGTGCCACCACCCGCCCCAAGTGTAGCCCAGTCCAGTCCCTGCCAGGAACAGCCTGGCGCCACCCTGGTGGGAGCTGTCCCTGCTCCCCCCAACACCCTATGCATGAGCTGCTTGCAGCTCCATCCCATGCCCCACTCCAGCCCCACTCCCTCCCTCATTGCAGGAGGCCTTGATCTGCCCCCTTCCACACCCCTTCCCCCACAACAGACTTACCAGCCCACGCCGTTCTCCAAGCTCCCCAGCTGCATGTCAGAATCAGATCAGTATCAGCTGATATGGCTCACTAAAAATCAGCCATTGGTATCAGCCAAAAAAATCTCTATCAGTGCACCCCTAGTTCCTATGTCACCCAGTCCACCTCAGATCTTTGACACAGGGTTGGTTGGTCATCAAGGAGACAGCTAAAATACTACAATAAATGAGACAGCTGGGGCACTTACAAAAGTTACAGTTTTCACATGAGTGGGGGTCTGAATCCTTGCTGTCTTGCTATCTGCATCCTTGCTGGATTGCTGTAAGCTGGTTGCTTCCTCCGTGCCCAAGAATGACCATCTCAGTCATATCTCCTGTCTGCAGGGACTGTAGCATGAAAATCCACTCTCACTGTTTACTCCTCTCAGTCCTGTCTACCAGTTCAGATATCAGGAGCAGAAGAAGCCTGTGAACCTGTGAGGGGGAAGCTGGGCAGTAGTAGAGAAAAAAGGGGTCTCAACTGGAGGTTCCTATTATCAGAGCAGTCATTGAGCCAAATTGTTGTGCCTTTTCTTTCCAACAGAGGATTTTCCAATCATTAGGTTTACACTGCTAAAAGGGATCCAGCTGCTCCTGCCTCAACCTCTTGAAGATGCAGAGTCTTCTATAGACCAACAGTGTAAGTACTTCTGCTCTGACATGCTCTGACCCAGGAGCTGAGTGCCCATGATAAGAAAGAAGCCTGAGGAATCAGACTGTCTTATTCTTATCACATTAAGATGCTGCCAGCAGCATCTTGGTAGCCTCTTTACCTCTTGCTGGCATCTTTATTCAGATTACTTTCTTGAGTTGTTCTTTTTACTAGTCTCAGGGGGAAAAATAAAAAAAAAAGCTTGGCTGTGAAATGTTATGAGATGTTATTAGTTGTTTGCATAGAGGCCGGGGCCTGCAGGATGATTTCCACAATATGACAGAAAGTTCTTTTGGTTTTATTGCAGCTTCATCTGGAAGCCTCAGCCGGAAGAAGCCAGCATCTAGCATCTTCCTGACCCAACCAACTGGGTAGGTAATGACTGGGAAATTTCAACTCCTCTCCTGACCTGGAAGTGGTGCTCACCAAGAGATGGGAAACCACTCATTACCCAGTTTGGGTGCTAATTGTGTGGGCTCTTCCAGCATTCTGCCCCATGCCGACCTTCCATAGGCAGAATAAAAAATGGAGAAAATACTCCTGGCTTGACTACAGAATACAGCGATAACTTTCTTTGTTCTCCCAATCATTGCTGGATGAACATACTCCATTACCAATCAATCAATCGCAGATAGTTAAGAGGATAATATCAAAGTTGGATCCTAAAAGTTACCACTCTATATTAGCTTTTACGTGCCTGAAAATAAGGCCAATTAACTGGTATTTGCTGAATAGCAATGATTTTTGTGCACCAATGTAAATTATATAATGAGCTGGAGCAGACAGATGAGCAGCTACCCTGGAGACCTCTGAGGGAGGTATGACCTTTAATGAGGTAATGAAAGAACACTTGAGGCTTCAACACATGGAATATTTACATTGGTATAAATGAGGGGCAGACAGACAACATGAATCCTATTACCAGTGTTGTTGCCTGAATTTCTTGTAGAAACATGGGAAAACCCACTGGGAAGATGACACCAATCTATATATACACTTGCTGTGTCTACAGCTATCCCGTGTAACAGTTTGCTGTAGGCCAAGGCTGTCAAACATATGACCTATGAGCCAGATCTACATAGCCATGTCATCTAGCCAACACAGGAATCTTAGAAGGGATGCATGTTCATGGCAGGGGAGTGAACAATGGCCGTTAATTCCCATAGTTCCCTGATACTGCTTGCCCCACCACCGGAGGCAGGTCTGGAAGTGGTCCACAAGGACAGTTTGCCTACAGTAAGGATGAGGGGTGGGGAAAGGAGGAGTGCAAAACCAGTTTGGCATCCCTGCTGCAGGTAAACAGTATATTGCCTGTTCCCTTGTGTAGCTGTAAGGAACTGCAATAGGAACTGCTGCAAGCAGTCACCCCAGGATAGCTGTTCAACTGTCTGAGCTGGATCCCCAGTAATTTACACTGATGTACAAAACCGATGTAAATTAGGCTGCTAGAAATGCGTTGTGTCCATGCCCAAAGTTAGATACTTAATGTATGGTATCGGGTGCCTAGCATTTGGCACCCACATGTTAGCCAGAGTTCACATCTAAAAAAATCACCTGCTTGGGGGAAGCATATAAAGATTTCTTCCTATAGAGAAAGGATATCCCTGCAACTAAAGCACAAAACTGGGAGTCAGGGGATACTGCCTCAGTCCTTTGCTTTGCCACAGATTCCCCTCTGAAATCTCTTTGTACCGTAGCTCACCATACTTGCAGAGAGGTTGCAAGGAGCACTTTGCATACCCAAAAAAGGCACTCTGATCCCATATGATGGGGCCATTTATGTGCTCCGTGTAATTTCCACTACTTTCTCCAGTTCCACTTTAAATGTCCCAGTCTGGAGGTTATTCTAGTCAGTCAAATTTCCTATTGGGGTAGCTTCCCTAATACTCCATCTAAGTTTTCTGTTCCTTGATTTAATTTCATTGCTTCTGATTCCCGCACTTGGACCGCTCTAATGCACCACACAAGAGGAGTCAGTGAAGAGGAGGGTAAGCCAGCTGACTGTTAGGTAGACATGGGAGTCAGAATGGTTAAAGAATAAATGTGCATGGAAACATGACCTTAGATCAAGGCAGAATGCCAGCAGGAAGTAATGAGGACATGTTAAAGCTTGTCCTGCTTCTAAGGAAAGACTGTATCCCTGGCAACACGGGTGTCAGGTAAACCAAAATTATGGATTGAAGGGTTTATTAAATTCTCAGATCTGTTACAATCCTAACCCAATCCAAACAAAACTGTATGGTCTAAGCAAAGACCTTTGTGCTGTCCTCCTCCCGGGTCACACTACAAATCCCAATATTCTTTTTTCTTTTGCCTTCAGGCAGCAGCTTCCTGATATTTTAAAAAGTCACTCTAATAACCCATTCAGGCTTCCCCTATTTGAGTGAGATCAACAGCCTCTGTCCATCTGAAACTTGCTCTGAAGACACTTCATCTTCAGTCCTTCAGGTCAGGACTAGAGCATACTGACAGGTCAGTGCTGGGAAAGTAAGACAAGATTCTTGGGGGATGTGGTACTTCCAAACTCGGGTGCCTTGGCAAACAACTGTCTGCAGTGGGCAGTGGCAGTGTCCTCTGTCGTTAATGTCCAATCAGTGGCCTCTCTCCCCATAAAAAGGAAATAAGTCTCCAGGCACTTCAGCCAAATACTACTGGATTCCTCCTGACTCCAGGGTTGGCATTTGGGCACACTATTTTCCTAGGTGCCAGGCTCCCGTCCAGTTTCCCAGAGAGAATCATTCCAACAACTTACCCACTGTAAACCTGCAGCCAGTGGACTGCTCTGAAGCACTTACATTTTGGGAGAGCCTGATTTTTCTGCAATGCCTTGTGTACCCTTGTTGCAGCTACCAATGACCTACTGCTGATAGATTTATGCCACTGCAACCCTGTTGTGTGGATAAACAAAGCCTCCATAACATGTTCTTTGCAATGCTGGAGCTTCCATGTGCTTGTAGCCAGGACAAGTTGCACTGTGACTAGCCAAGGCTGAGATCATCTTTGCCTTTGTACACCAATATAGCTCAGCTCTGCCAAAAACTGAAATCCCCAGTGTAGCAAGGCAAAGGGAGCACTGTCAGGCACACAGATTACCTTTTCAATTGTTAGGTCTCAGCCAGTTGCAGAGGATGATGCAAAGCCTTTCCTCTCTCCACAGGACCAGAGGGAGGCCTTATGCTCCAATGTCACCTCCTTAGAGTATTTCCTACTGAACTGTGCACAGCAGAAAGTCCTGAGTCTTCAAACAAGCACTGAGAATTAAATGTTCTGTTTGTCAGTTGTGTGCCTAGTATTCTCCTACCTACAAGTTATAGGTATTGTGCAATTTCTTAAAGACCAGCTACACGTGTAAAGTAGCGGTCATGCCATAAAAAGCTCCAATCAGCTATAAGTTAGACCTTGAATATGTGTACTAACTGTATAGCTAATTGCTATCACGTTTTAATTTGCACATGTAGCAGGATCTCTGCTGTGGCTAAGAGCCCCATCAGCTGACAGGGCCCCCAGCCACAGGACTATACTGTGGCCAGTGTAAAACCCCAGGGACTGGGGAATCATGGCTGCCATGGTCTCTCCCAGGTTTGGGGGGGGGCACCACCACACCTGGGATTCCCTCAACTGGGGTGGGGTTCAGCCACAAGAGCTTGCTTCTTGCTGGCACATGGAGAGCCCCAGATCAGGCTCCCTCTACACCAGCAGTAAGGCATGGTGGGATGGCAGGGATGATGTGTGGCATGGCAAGAGGCCTGTGTGGACCATGCATTAGATCCCATTGTGCCTTTACCTGCATGTGTAGAGGGGGCCTAAGAGAGAGAGAGCTCCACAGTCAGTTCCTGTCCTTCCAGACTGAACAGCAACTCACAAATCAGGGAATCCATCTCCTGCTCTCTTCCTCTCTTTAAGGAAACTGCAGATCTTCTGGGATGTTTACATCCTCTTGTACATGGGACCCACACTGCAAACAGGCCCTGCACAGGAGAGAGAGCAAAAATCTCCCAATCCCCCTCCCCACTGCAGCTATGTAGAGGATACACCCGTTCAATGGAAAGTGCAGGGACTACTTGCCAAGACCAGCTCTGGCCTTCATGGCGCAGTTATATTATACTGGAGTGTCCATACACATACATTTTAAGAGGTGCCAAATCCAAGGAAGGTGGAAGAATATTGCAGCTCAAAAATGTACACAATTCATGGCTTTGGAGTTCTCTTGCTCAGTCTCCCAGGTTCTTGGAGGTTAGTGCTTCTAGAGCAAGCCAGGAAAACCAGGCAATGCAGGAGCAAAGGGCTGTCAGAAAAATGTATCTGCATTGGAATCAGTTAAGGTTTTGTATCCACCCTAATAGCAATTAGTAGAACTCATCCTTTGGTGAAAATTAGCCAGTTAAACCCCATATTGGAGGTATTTATTGAATGGGTAGTAAAAAAAAAAAAAAAAATCACACCAACCTCCTTCCATGTGGCATAAACTGGCAAATAGGTTAACAAGATACTGCAAAAGGTTTTTTTCTTTTCAGATGGGGGTGTAATGCATCATCTCCTTCAGTTTTGCACAACTAAGTTTTAAACTTGGGTATTGAAGCTCAGTGTTTATACCTACATTTAAAAGGAGGTTTTCCCACTGGTTGTGCAATAAGGTTTCAGGAGCCTGGTGAAAATGTGAGAGAATTTCCTGGAAAAATTAATTTATTTTATTTGTGTCTCCCTGATTTGTGTCTGCTGCTTTTTCTTTTCCCACCATCCCAGTCTCCTGCCCAGGGGAAAAAAAAGTCACTTCATGGGTTAGCGAGGACTAAAGCACAAGTTTCTACATTCTGGTTAAAGAGCATATTTAAATTAGCTTAAGCTTTTTTAATGCTAGCAAAAGAAAAAAAAATGGATTTCTCCTCCCAAAGGCTATTTGCTTTTTCTCCAACTAAATCCTGGCATAGCCACTTATATGAGTGACTATACTGGAGTGTACACCCCCGTTTCTAAGAAACAACACTGCCCGGTGCAGCAAGCTGGGGAGTTGCAGCTGCTGTTGCCACGCGCAGCCCCGATGGACAAACCCGGAGCTGGCGTGGGGCCCAGGCTGGCAGTGGGGCTGGGTTACAAACTGGTGCTGAGCGTGGGTAAAAGCGGCCCCTCGCCTGCCCTGTGCCCAGCACCCCGTACTGCAGCTACTTACAGCCTGCATGGGGCTGCCTGTGCCTGCTCCAGACAGCCCTGCATGGGCTGCGAGCACCCGCAGCAGGGAGCACCAGCCATGGGACGGGGGAGGGGCCGCTTTTCCCCATGCTCAGCACCAGCTTCTTCTCTGCTGGAAAGCAGGGGGTAGGGGCTGTGCGCTGTCCCCCACCTGTACCATGGGGCTGGGGGGCACTGGGAGTGAGCAGGTGCGGGAGCTAGCGGGAGCACGGGGCCTGCACTGGTGTCCCGGGGCCAGTGCCAGCGGGTCCTAGCCGACAGGGGCTCTGGAGCCAAGCCAGCTCCCCTCTCTCCCTGCTGGTACAGCCCAGCCTGGCTCCACAGACCCCTGCCAGCCTGTGCCCTATTCTAGGCCCCACTGGTGCTGGCCCTGGGACATTGGCCCCAAGATGGTAACTAGGGGGCGGGGCACCTGTCAAGGGTCGGGGCTACCTATGTGGCCCTCGACAGCCTGCCAAAACTGGGTAAGCAGCCCTCCGCCCAAAATAATTGCCCGCCCTTGCTATAGGCAGTTGTGACTTTTGCTTGGCTGACCATCACTAGAGCTCTATTCCCATACCATTTCACCTTCTGAAATGTTTCCTCTTTGGTTTTTTTTTAATAAAGCCTTAATTTAGGCATATCCTGATTTAAGCATAACCATAATGTTTTTCCAAGGGATGAATTAGTGAAATTACAAATAATGGACCAAAACATTTTTTAAAGTTTCAAAACTAATCATTTTCAGACCATTCAAAATACAAAACGGCAATGATAGGCTATAGCATTTTCTTTTAATATTTTAAGTATATGTTGAACAGCTAAGATAAATGAGTGATTTGGCAAGCCAATTCAGATTTAATCTTGCAGACAACAATGGAAGCACGGTATCCAATGTCATACAGCCAGTGCTTTGGAAAAATACATATATCAAGGACAGCATTCAAGTGCATTGCTTAGGCAGGATCACTAAATCCAAAAGGTGCAGGCAAAAGTGTTTCCATTTCATTTTCATGGGAAAGGTTGAACATTTAAAAAAAAAAAAAAAGCACACATGGATTATTTCAACCTTGCTGCCAGCAATAGGCACCCTATTTTTGAAGACAAGGGGTGCATCTACACGAGATGCTTAATGCACAGTAGATTCATTCTACTGTGCATTAGCACAGCTTTTACCGTAACACACTAATGTGCAGTAGAATTAATCTACTGTGCATTAAGCATCACAAAAAGACCATGCACCAACACTACTGGGCAGTGGCACCCGTTACTGCACATTTAGTTAGTACATCATATAGTACAGGTACTAAACTTAATGTGCAGTAACAGCAGCACATTAATTGTAGGTGTAGATGTACCCAGAGTGAAAAAGGAGCAGGAGCAGACAAGAGACTGAATACAAGCAGTAAGCCATCCAAACAAGGAATATAATGAAGCCACCAAAGTTTTAGGGTGTGCCTCCAGTTCTTTCTCAGTTCCTTCGGTCACTAGCCACTGTGGCCCTTCCCATAGGAGACCTCCTATCAACCAGGATCCCTCCAGGCTCCCCACATAGGAACTGTTTTTTTCTTGTGTTCTGGGTTGGTCAGCTGGCAGGCCCCCTGCCAGCTCTCCTGGGCACTCTGGCTCCCACTCTCCAGCTCAAAGATGGCAATGAGGAGAACCCCTCTGAAGGAGCAGTGGCTCTCAGCCCTCTTTAGCATTTTTTTTTAAGAAAAGTTTTTCATGTTCCAAGCCATATCAGCCAAATCAATTCCAAATCCATGAGTCAGACAAGAACCATATGTGGCCCTACTACTGGTAAACATCCTTTACCCCCACCTGGGGCTTCAGATGCTTCCAAATCATTTGGCGGGCATCCTACATGCAGGCCCAAGCCCAGAGGCTTGGGGTTCAGATGCCCCTGAGTTTCACTTGTCCTCAGCCATATGGCCACAGAAGCAAGCTAGGGAGGAGTCTCCCATTTCCATAAAATGGGTGTAAAGTCAAGATCTTCCCACTGGAAATGAAAGTGGGAGGTTAACTATACATTACCTCTGCAGGTTCTACCCCATGCCAGAAAAGCTGTCATCCCCAGTGACTAGGAAAATCGCCTTAGTTGTCACAGTATTTCAGGCCCCAGCTCACTGACCTAAGAAGTCAGACGATTCTTGTCCTTTTCTGCTGTTTCCTTGCTCTTAGCCCTTTCCAGCTCTGCAGCGTGCGGAAGTCACTGAGCCAGCCCTTCTGCTGCTCTCCCTAGCGCAGGTGTAGGCAAAATGTGGCCCGCAGGCCAGATGCGGTCTGCCAGGCCTTTCTATCTGGCCCGCGGGGCCCCTAAAAAATTTAGAAAATTAATATATATCTGCCCCTGGCGGTCTGTCATGTGGCCAATGGCTTGCCAAAACTCAGTAAGTGGCCCTCCACCCAAAATAATTGCCCCCCCCTGCTCTAGCTGCAGCCCCTCCAGCTCAGGAAGGTTTACTAACAAGGCCTTTTGCTGCTGTCCCAGCTCTCAATCTTCTCCAGGCAATTCCTTCTCCTCTTGCCAGAGCCCTATGCTCTGCCTCCTCCTAGAAACTCTTGCCAACAAGAGTTGTTGTCTGCCTTCCTGCTTCCCTTCATCATGTATTACCTTAGGGTGCCACCACACCCTTCTAATCAGGTCCAGGGGGAGGGTACCTGCTTTGTCAAAAGAGGAAGCAATTGGATATACTTTTACTTAAAGAGGCTGCTAATTCTGTGACAGGGGCTTTCAAGAATGTGTACCTGCCATAGAGTAAAAGGTGAATCAGTGATGTCTGAGTACATTCATGATGCTAGAGCTTAGTAACTATTTGCAGTAGACTGCAGCTATGATGGCTATTGTTTGATGTTCCAGAACTATCACTAATAGCATCCTTTATGGCTCCAGAAAAATATGCTGTCTCCTAACTTCTATTTCAATTAGGAGACAGAGCATATGTTGTCTCCTAACTGCTCTGCAGCTTATTAGGAGAAAGCAGACACCTCATGTGAGCTGCAGTGTCTATACATCTTGCAAATTGGTTGGATTTCTCTGCTAACAGACTCTCTCCATCAACTTCATGAAAAGAGACTTTCACTGGTACAGAAAGGGCAAAATCCAGCAAAGAATAACCCAGTTCTAAAATCAACAGCAGCAGGAAACTGCAGCATTTATCCTGTTCCCATTGACTTCAGCAAGAGCAGGAGTGAGGTCGCAAACCCCATAGATGCAGTTGTACATTCACTCTGAGGGCCAAGTTCTGCTCATTCTGTTCTGCTGAAAAAGGAGCAGGTTTAGAAACTCTGGGCCAGATCTAAAATGTACTTTTAACGTAAAGGCACCTCAGTAGAATGTAGGCACATAAAGACAGAAACACCCAATTACCGGTGGGGGCACATTTCTCACAGGAGGGCCACTCTCTCTCCAATCTCTCAGTCCTGATCCTCAAGGGAAATTTACACAACACTTCCCAGAGATGAGCTCCATTTCATCAACCTGCTGGATACTAGAGATCAGGGACTAAACATAGACTTTGGATTTTTGATACGTTATAATCTGCCTGGCAACTGACTCCCCAGCCCAGCCCCTGGCTTCTTTACTTTTCATTCCATCCAGGAAGAGCACACACCAACTGCTGCAGCTTCCTGAGCCTGACGAAGGGTTTTTGAACCCGAAAGCTTGCTTAATAACTATTCTCCAACCATTTGGGTTGGTCTAATAAAAGATATCAAATTCACCCAAGGAACCTTGTCGGCACATAAATCTAGGCACTTCCATTTTCAGTATTAAAGCTCCCCAGGCACCTGAAGTCCCGCTTTTGCACAAGCCCAGAAGTGGAGCTGGGCAGGGCAGCATGGCTCATTCTCACCCCCTACACCCAACCCCATGGCTCCCAAGAGTGGTGGGGCTGGGCAGAACAGTGCAGTGTACACACACACACACATAGGGTGTGTGCGTGCGCGCACACACACACACACACACACACACACACACACACACACACACACACACTCTCCAAAATCTGGGACTGTCCCAGCCAATCCGGGACATGTGGTCACCCTTATTCAGGCCAAACCTAACTGGGATCCAGAAACTAGACATACACCTACCTACATCTCATGAGGCAACCGATCCAGTTGGTATTCTCTGAGCACTGCTTTTTGTCACTCTTTATGTGAAGAGGGGATTTTTTTTTCATCAGGGACAGATGGAAGAATTAAAAGAACAGCCAAATAAGCAGCAAACTTCCTTACTTTTTTCATAGATTCATAGATGTTAGGGCCAGAAGGGACCTCAGTAGGTCATCGAGTCCAACCCCCTGCCGTGGGCAGGAAAGAGCACTGAAGTCAGACGACACCAGGTAGGTGCTTGTCCAGTCTCCTCTTGAAGACCCCCAGGGTAGGGGAGAGCACCACCTCCCTGGGAAGCCCATTCCAGATTCTGGCAACCCTTACTGTGAAGTTCTTTCTAATGTCCAACCTAAATCTGTTCTCCATCAATTTGTGGCCATAGTTCCTAGTTACTTCAGGGGGTGCCCTAGTAAACAGAGCATCTCCTATTCCCTGCTTCCCTCCCCGTGATGAATTTATAGGCAGCCACAAGATCACCTCTCAGCCTTCTCCTGTGAAGGCTGAAGAGATCTCAGTCCCCCAGTCTCTCCTTGTAGGGCCTTAACTCCAGGCCTCTGACCGTATGAGTGGCTTCCTCTGAACCCTCTCAAGATTCCCCGCATCCCTCTTGAAGTGCAGCACCCAAAACTGGACACAGTACTCCAACTGCGGCCTGACTGATGCCGCATAGAGGGGAGGCATCACCTCCCTAGATCTGTTTGTAATGCATCTGCTAATGCATGATAAAGTGCAGTTAGCCTTGTTGATCACTTCGTCACATTGATGAGTCATGTTCATCTTGCAGTCAGCAGTAACTCCAAGATCCCTTTCCACTGCTGTGCTGCCGAGAAGGTCATCCCCCAGGCTGTAAGCATGCTGGTGATTCTTTCTCCTTAGGTGCAGCACTTTGCACTTTTTTCTATGCTCCCTCAGGTCCAGATCTTGCAATATTTCATTTCACATGCTATAAATGGTTCCCCTACCTTAAAGTCAACTGGACTGGGGTTTGAAACCTATGACATATTCTGACACCCATCTTTATCTGGTGATGTAACATCTCTCAAAAAATCTGTTTATAAACAGTAGGTTGGGCTATGCCATACATGGGGAACAGCAAGGCACGGAAAACAAAGCAAACAAAATCTCCCTCCCCCAGGTTCTGCACACCCTTCCCCTTCAAAGACAAGTCTTCTCTGCCAAGTTCTTAAAGCACAAATCTAAACTGTCCAAGGATAGCACTGGTATGACTGATAACATTCTTTATATCTCCAACACGCAAAGGAATGCAAACATTTTTCATTTTGAATAAGGGGTTGCCAGCCTGAAAAGGCAGAGAAGCACTGATCACCAGTAAAATTAACTAAGCTTAGTTTTGTGGCCAATTTGTTCTGTTCATTTTAAATGAACTTTAATAAATACACTAAGGCACCCAGAGCCCAAGAGCGATTTGGAACATACTGGCTACTTCAACAAGAATAGCATATGCCCTCCTGCCAGATTAGTTCAAATTGTAAACAGCAGCTTGCAATGGCTCAGAGGAAGAAAGTTTTAATATTCTTATCTCATAATGGCCAAATGCTCTGTTTATGGAGAAAAAAAGGCCTTTGCTATTAAAATTAGATTTAGGAGCTGCGTCAACTTCTTTGATCTGTTCTGAGAATGTGATCAGCCCCTGGTGAAATTGCCCATATGTTACAGTACTCGAGAACTCGAGGATCCTTTACAACCTAAAGCCTCTTCTATTTTTATATCAAATTTAAAACAAACTGAAAAATGAGTTTCAAGGAAAAGAGAGAGAGATAAGACTATGGTCCAGATTGTTCTCATCTATATTAAAAGCAAAATGAGGACATTTTAGTGTGCAAGATTTCATATAGGTTGTTGTAGGAAGGGAGTGGGGTTTATCTTTTACCCTAATATGGAAAAGCCACTTCCAAATTCAGTGGGTCCCAGAGCCTTTTACCAAGAGGCTCAATGGAGCTGACCCATGATAATTTCCTGCTTGGATTGAGATGGTACTGAGATAGTATTGGTACAGAAGAAACGTGAAGAACATGACAAGATGCAGATCAAGGCAGAGGGAATCAGCTCTGTCTAAAATAGGTTTCATAGCTACTACCTTTTTAATTTCTACATTACACTCAGACCATAAGAAATCTGTGGAGTGGTAAGCAATGTTAAAATTAAAACATGCTGTGAGCAGTCATACATATGGACTAGGGACAGAAGTTACACATAAACCGGTTTAAGTGATCAGAAACTGGTTTAAACCTGTAACAGACCAGAAGTTCAGTGCACATAAAGTTTCAAAATGGCTGCAACTGGTTTAAAATAAACCTAGTGGAATGTAACATCAGACTTAACTGATCTGGGTCAAACTGGTTTATGAAACTTCTGTCCCAGACCCCTTCCTGGTTCAAGTTAAATCACAGCATCCCAGCATGCTTTCCAGCCCTGGGCTGGGCTGTCTGCTCCAGAGAGCAGGGCTGGCCCCACCCCTCTGCTCCCTAGCTGGAACAGGGAGGCCAGGCTAACAAGTGGGGGGGACAAGCCTGGCTAGGATTGCAGCCCAGTCTGCAGTAGGGGGAGACTGCCCCCCAAGGCAAACCCTGGATGTGGTCTAGAGCCAGGGAGGGGGGCGCTAAACACCCATTCCCCCACTCAAACTTACTGCTGGCTGCAATTGTGGACTATAAATCCCAGAGGCACCTGGAAGCAGGAAGTGATAAGCAACGCTGCAGAGTCCTGCTGCTGTCAGTCAGCAAATCCCAGAGACCTCTGGGGCAGCAGGAAGAGGAAATGAGCACACAACCAGTGAGCCATGCTCTCTAGCACCCCCTGACTTCTAGCTTGAGCCGCTGCAGGCATGTGGCTGCATTTCCTGAATCAAAGGTAAATAAATGTCTGTTCACTTCTGTTTCAGGTCTGGCCCACCAACTAATTGGATTCAGCTTGTGGGCAGGTGCCCGCCAATTGATTGTATCCGGCCCATGGTGCTCCACATGAGGCCGAGCCTTGCCTTCTCCCACCCAGGGCAGTCCATGCCATGGTCCTATCTGCCCTGCCCCGACCCGTGTGCAGTTTCCTCGTGCAGTTGCTCCTGGTGCGGCTGCAACCTGAGTACTGCTCAACTCTCCCCGTCTCCAGTGGCACCTCATCCTCCTGTCCTTGCTGCGCTGCTCTGGGCAGCTGCCAGTGTGGGGAAGCCATGGGGATGCATG